ATAGTTTTTCTCTTCTGGACAAGAGCTGGTCCCAGGTATCTAACAATCAATCCCCTGGGGAGGGTTTTCCTTCTACTTTTACCTCTAACCCTACAGGAATATCCATATTAAGAAAGAGATCAGCTCTGACATGGAGTTTATTGTAACAGGGTCTGTCCTGTCCACACGCACACACACACGCGCACATGCACACACACACACACGTAATGGCATGACAAGGCTTGGTATCATTATAAAACAAGGCCACTGATGGCTAGACATATACAAACATGTAATCCCTGTGCACCTCTGCCCCAGATGACAGGAGTCGGGCTGCAGCAGAATCAGCTCTTGTTGGGAATCAGTGAGCCAGCTGTCCAGGAGGGGCCAGGGCTTATGTGATCAAATCTTCACTTGTTTCAAAGGCTTCTTAACAGTTCTAAAAAAGACTTGTTAGGCTTTTATGACCCTGGAGAACAACCAAAATGATCAGCCTCTCCCTTTCAGACACACATATCTTTAAGCAATAAATGTACACACTTCCTACTAATTGAGAACTTCCAACTGAGTCCATATAAATGAATGAAAGCCCTATGGATTATTATTTCCCAAATTAAGTACTACCAGCTTAAGAATTTACAGAAACACATTCTCCATATTTTGCCAAGGGAAAATAAGCAGCTTTAAAAGGATAAGGTTGTTGTTTTAACCCATGTGTACATATTTGCAGATAAAAGACAGGACATGCTCAGCCCAAATGATAATCCTAAATGTGGACAATGACAATTTTTTGCTTTATTTCTATTTTTTTTATATTATGTTTTCTTCACTGCATATGTGTTACTATGATTAACAACAACAACAACAAAAAGATTTAAGGGGCGCCTGGGTGGCTCAGTCAGTTAAGCATCTGACTTCGGCTCAGGTCACGATTTCACAGTTCGTGAGTTCAAGCCCCACGTCGGGCTCTGTGCCGACAGCTCAGAGCCTGGAGCCTGTTTTGGATTCTGTGTCTCCCTCTCTCTCTGCCCCTCCCCCGCTCATGCATTCTCTCTGCCTAGCAAAAATAAAAAAAATAAAATGTTAAAAAAAAAAAAAGATTTAGATAGATTCAAGTCCATTAAAACAAACACTGTGAAGTTTTCTCCCTTTATTTCTGGACTCCTGCTTTAGCAGTTTTCAAGGCAGTGCAAAACAGGATGAATAAGTCCCTGCAAAATTATAATAAACTGGTACCATGCCATGTGGTATAGATTAACCTAAAACAGAGGTACATTCATACTATCCGTCTTTGAGCTTGGCACTGATATACAAGAAATTACTAGACTCTAAGAGGCACACGCTTTCAGACACGGTTACATCAGAGGCCTTTTTTTTTAAGTCAGATTTTAACTGGATTTAAAAGAATGAGAGGAATTTCCTGGATTTTATCAAGCCAGTTACCCAACAGATTTTCACCCACACTTCTTAATACGAGGATTAAAGCCACTTAGCAAATTAGAGCTCATTCTTGCCACTCAAAATGCTATTAAGAACATATAAATTAAGAGATCTTTGAAAAACAATACACGTCAACAAAAGGCTTAGAGCTCCTGCTCAGAATTCGTTGTTGTAACAGTTTCCTATAAAGTCGGTTGAAAAGCATCAAACATACTGAGGGCCTAAGCGCGGGCGGGATCTACTTTCGGACCACACAGCACTAGGGAGAGATGGGGAACACAGATCTACACTCAATGGAGAAAGAGCCTTTCTTGTTTTGTTATCATAGGACAAGTATCACTGTCAAGTCTTCACCACAACTTCATTAAAATACCAAGCCATATATACGCACAATTTAACACAGCACAAGGAGGACAGGGACAGATTTTTCAGAACTGCAAAATGGCATCTGCAGAATGTCTCCAAGGAACGACAAAGGCACTTCTTTGGCCCTGACAAAGAGAACAATGTTTCCACTTGGACACTACAAGACTATTGCATTTCAGAGTGGGGGGTGTGGGGGGGGAGGGAGGCAATAAAAATTAACACAAAACAGAACTGAACGAGCAGGACAGCCTGTAGGGAAGAATTAAAAGAAAGTATTGAGGATACAAGTTTCACTCATTACAGTGCACAAAAGTAAGAGTCCTTACGGTTTTAAAAACTGGGGAATTTCAAACATTAACTTTGAAAAGAAAACTTACAACTAAAAAAACTCAGGGGGCGCCTGGGTGGCTTAGCCGGTTAAGCATCCGACTTCAGCTCAGGTCATGATCTCAGTTCGTGAGTTTGAGCCCTGCATTGGGCTCTGTGTGGACAGCTCAGAGCCTGGAGCCTGCTTCAGATTCTGTGTCTTCCTCTCTCTCTGCCCCTCCCCCACTCACACTCTGTCTCTCAAAAATAAGCGTTAAAAAATTTTTTTTTTAATAAAAAAAAAAAACTCAGAACATAAAACTACTTATCTCACCAAATCAACCAAGTTTTTTAGGTTCATAAACACTGTGCTTCTATAATTCACATTGCTTAAAAGGCAGCTTATAAACAAGCTACACATATTTAATTTCTCATGACCACTCTGAGAAATATAGTATCAACACCTCCATTTTACAGATAAGGAAAGGGACTATCAGGCAGATCTAACCTCAATTCCAACTCCCTCACTTATTAGAGCTAGGACTTTTGAGTTTCTTTCCAAGACACTTTTACCTTGATTTTCAGGACTATCAACATCAAAGAACAGGCACAAAGATTAAAAACAAACTATTGTCCAAAATGGGAGAATATATTTCCTAAATATATATATATATATATATTTCCTAAAATATATACTACAATGGAACTAGAAGCTTAATAAATTAAGGGTGGGGAAATGAGGATATACCTACTTTTAATCAACCAAATAACATTTTCTAAACACTGTTAAGAGACAGGTTTAAGAAACACCTTCAGGGGAAACACACACACACACACACACACACACACACACACACACACACATCTGATGAGTGCCAAGGGCCAGGATTAATTATAAAAAGTGAGTATGTGAACACACTGGATGAAGAAAGATCATAATCAGGGCCTTATGCTATTCCTCTTTCACTTGAAGTGTATGTACTTTATCTGCAGTAGACAGTACCCTAGACAACTTGATGCTTTTGTATCGTGGAAAAAACAGGTAAAATTATGAACAGCACACTCTGATTAAAATAAGTAGAACTGTACATATTTTACCAACAGGTACATTTTTCTCATAACTATTTCTTCCCCATAAATTGTTAGCCCTACTTTGAACCTCTACACAACCTCAGTAACTGCAGAAAGAAAACCCAAATTCTTCCACACGAAATGCAGAGTCCCTAGACTCTGGCTGGACCCTCCTTTCCAGCCTTTCTGCTGAGTTCTGCCCATGAAGGGTATTGTTAAGAGAAACGCCACTCCAATTTGCAGGCTCACTCCGTCAGCCCCTTCTCAAGGGTCAACGGCATGCCTATCATCTCCCCTATCATGGGGCCAAGTCCAGCTACCATGCTAGGACCTGGCCAAAGACCTCCCTGCCACTCCCAGCTCAATGTCACCCGATCCCTCCCCCTTTTCTCTCAGCCCTTTCCACAGTCTGGGCCCTATGCCCACCTTTCACCTACTAAATACATCTGTTACTCCTCTCTGTACCCTCCACAGCAAAAAACACACCCCTTTGCACAAACTTATGCTTAGTGCATTTGGATAGAAAGAAATGAGGTTGGAAGAAAATACCTTTAAGAAACTTAAGCACCGATTTTTTTTCTCCAAACAGTTCTAGGCATCATGAACTTATTTTTCTATTATGCAACATAATCACCTTAACGATTCAATAAAGTAAGCCTAATATTAAATAGCAGTCTACTGGTATATTATTTTGGCACATTTATAATGAGAAACCTCATGCCATCTTTTAAGATTCATATTAGCAAAGTGTAAGGAACGTAGGATTTACTATCTTCAGTCTGCATGATTGGTTCTCATGGATTTAAGACTGACCTAAAGGCTATTATCTTCAAAAAGGTATTAAATTCAACAAAAAACAAAACAAAAAAATGGTTCCAAAGTAACTCCTTTGACAACATATTTTCGGCTATACGGTCCTCCTGAACAGTATCATTTTAGATAGGGGAAGGACCCAAAAGAATTTAGCCAATCCTTTATGTCACAGACACTAGAGAATCTAAGAAATTTTAAACCGAGCAACGTGACTGAGGAATCTTCTTAGAATATCCTGGGCAAAGGCAGAAATCTAACCTCCTGGCAAAGGAGATCTGCCAGGCGTTTCTCATTTGCATTAACCTGTTAAATCAACCAGGTGATGAGCTCATGTTTCTGAATGAATTTGCCGCTCAGCATTTTCTCAAAAGCTTTATTTTTCCCCAAACACTTTCCTCTTGGTATCTTCTCCCACCACTCTTCACACTGCTGAGCTCCCACTTCCCTACCGGTGTAAAAATTGTATGCAACTGTTGAATAGTAATTAAAACACAACAGCCACAGGCGTTACTATAATCTCTCCTTCAGGCGTGGCGTTCATCTGATGGAAGGATGGAGGGCCTTCCTTCCCCCGTTCCTGTCTGCCGTGATCCAGGAATCACAGCAGAATGCAGGGACAAGCAATGGCTGGGAGAGTGGAGGGGCACCTGTCCAGGAAAGCAGCAGCTGTGGCTGTCAGAACGGAGGCAGACGACCAGGAATTCACTATTTTATTCTTCTGGAACACATACATATAATCGTGTAACAGTTATACAGAACTTTTAGAATATGGCTATATAAATACAATGTAAGCCTGTCTTCCAGGAAACCTGGCCAACCCAAATACCGCACGCCCAAATCTGGACCCTATCTGCGCTGGCTCCTCACTGGTCTTCACTCTCTACTTACTTCTGCTGCATGACGGCACCGTCGGAGATAGAAGTCCCGGATATTCGTTCCATTCTAGGAGAATGGCACTGAAATAACAAATACCACTACCCTCTTGCGGTCAAAACAGAGCATCCAAAAGAAAAACACCAACTCACATTTACTGGTAATGTTTTCACTGGGTAATCACAGAGCTCTCCAGAACTCACACCTGCAGCCCAGGTCTGCAATCAGCGCCACCACCTTGCTCATTGGCACCTCGCGATCCAAGGACACCTGGATTAGGATAAACGCCTTAAGTAGCAGTGCTGACACAATTCAGTTCCTAATGCTTATGTCACAGGGGGCCCAGCCCGGGTCAGAAAATAATACGACCGATACGAGAACCCAACAGTAAACAGAAGTATCTTTAGGAAGCAGAAGTCCTTTTCCAATCATAAAATTCCCAAGTTATTTTACTCCTTTTGCAGAGCCAAACAGAAACAGGTGGAAAATAATTCCAAAAGGCCTCAGGGGTATGCAGATCCATTATTTTTTCAATATGACAAAAAAAAAAAAAAAAAGACTCCAAGAGAAAGATCACACTCTAGCAACACATGAAACTTTCTGCACAAGTGCATTGCCTCCATGCAGCTCTTTCAGGGAAAGGTGCAGACATGTGTGCGCACACACACCACACAATGGATACTTGCTCCGTAAAGCGGTGTGGCTGTTTTCCTGTGCAGTTCCTGGAATTGGTCTCCTTTTGTATCAAATCTGTGTCCTGACACTTTTCTACCGTGAACAAGTCAACAAGGAGACGGGGAGGGCTCCAAAGCCTATTCTAAGGCACACAGCTTACTGAGACAGGAAAAAGGCAAGCGGTGGATCAAAAAAGAGATTCTTTATATTAAACTCACTTTTTGGCACAACACTAGAGAATAAATTAAGTACAGTATTATAAGAAACACCGAGGACCATCGGGAGAAAAAAGATTTTTCTTTAGTTCTGCGTCTTCCTACTTTAGCCACCCAGGCTGTTCCCATCCTATTTCTCCAGCACCCAAGCTGTCATCTCTAGTCTAGTCCCCACCCACCCCAATCATTTGGAAAACTTCTGGAAAAGCACTAAAAGTATAATCAACTTCGCCAAATGACATTCACATTCTGTCCCCACCCTAATACTTGGCTATCTATCCTTATTTCGCGATCTCTTTCCACTCTTTCTGTCATCCTGCCCCCACCTACAAATATATCCTAGTAACTGTTATTTCCTTTCTTCCCCACTCCCTATTCCTGAGATTTTCTACACTAAATTTCTTCATCCCCTTCAGTCTGCCTTCAATTCTTCCCTCCAGATGCAGAGAGCCAAGATGTACAAAACCATTAAGTCTTCAAGATGCAGACAGAATTTAATATGCTAGGGACTTTTGGTGGAGGAATTTTTCCAAGGAAAACAGAAACGAAGGATTCTCCCTCACCTATTTTTCAGACCTCCCTCCTATCTCACTAAGGTCCCTGCAGCTGTTTTACAGTTTGCTCTAGACTGACTAAGGTCAAGCAGAGGTGAGGGCGAGTCTGAGACTGGGTGCACCAGGACATCGTCTGAAGCCCTAACTGCCTCAGAAAGGACACGGAACTGACTACCTGTTGACCCAAACCGATGGGCAAATCATGCTAGACTTGTTTCCTTCTGCAGAGATATTCCTGAGCACAACAGCTCACAGAGGTGGAAAAACAAAGCCACGTGCCTTGATTTGCCCCAAGTGTGCTCAGCACCTTTTTAACAAGTCAGAGTAACAACAGCGAACCAGGAGCTGCTGTGCTAGAACCAGGAAGACAAAGTGAGGGGACAGAAAGAGGCAGGAAGGAAGGGGATGCTAGGACAACCTCCCCATCCCTGAGAAGCTGATAAACTAGACACTAACACACACAACCCCCCGGGAAGTTACCATTCATCAAATACTCAAATGTCAAGAAAACACTAGAAAAAAATGCCAGAAGACTGTGTGAGCAACTGCCAAAGGAATGATACAGCCTAAGAATTCCTATAGGGATTCAGGGGAGGGGGGGGGGAGGCAAATATATTCCAGAGTGGAAGAAATTTGGCATAGGAGAAGATAATTAATAGTTGGGCAAAACCGCTAAAATGTTTTCAGAGATTTATTGGTTTTAACACAGCGGAAAAGAAAAACTTCCAATATACTGATGCTTATTCTATCTAAATGTAAAACATACATTTTTAACTTCCACTCCTTTCAGGTTCACATCAAATGGCCCTAAAATAGCAGCAATTCAGCCACATCATAATGGTTTTCAAACCACTCCAAATTACTTGGGGCAAATTAACTGTGTGTCTGGGCAGTTTCAAGGTTTCAGGGTTTTCATACTCAAGGTTCTAGTGAAATGGATTTAACTCTCTAGGGCAACGATCTCTAATTTATCCTAGAGGCTAATACTTCACAAATTCTCGCCAGTAAAGCGAAATAGGCAGAGTGTAGGAAGTAAACTGGAACAGGCAGTGGTTAACCAGTTCCAACTCCGGTTCTGAAAGTAACAATTTCAAGCAAGTCATTTAATGTCACTTTACTAAATTTCCTCATCTATAAAGACCCGAGGATAGATTAATTCTCTCTTAAAGTGCCTTACGGTTCTGAAATCCCACATTTAAATTTTTTTTTTTCAATGTTTATTTATTTTTGGGACAGAGAGAGACAGAGCATGAACGGGGGAGGGGCAGAGAGAGAGGGAGACACAGAATCGGAAACAGGCTCCAGGCTCTGAGCCATCAGCCCAGAGCCCGACGCGGGGCTCGAACTCACGGACCGCGAGATCGTGACCTGGCTGAAGTCGGACGCCCAACCGACTGCGCCACCCAGGCGCCCCTGAAATCCCACATTTAAAAAAATTACTTTGACAGGGCAAACAGCACACAAAATAAAGTTGAATGAAAGTGGACATCAAAACCAAATATATAGTATGAGCCCTGCTTTGTGAAATGCATACAAGTACATTTACTGAAGCATTCATTCTATAAGCTATGTATGTAGGGTACAAGAATAAAAACCACATACTATAAATAAGTGATCGTGTCTGAAAGGGAGAATAAAGCTTTTATTTATGGTTCTCCATATTACAAATTTTATTCAACATGCAAGTTTACCATTAAAAAGATTCAATCCCTTGAATCCAGACTTGACATTTGGAATCCAAGCACTTCGGCCTCTATGAAATATGCTGAAAATCAGAGTTTTCTTAGCAACACTATAGTCCAGTCTTCAACAAGGAGGGGGAAGAGAGGGGTGGAAACCCTCAACTTTGTTCTTCCACAGCTACTTTTCTCATCTAGTTTGAAGCCCCTCCTCTGTCCCCACCCTTCCCCAGAAAAATCTCTTGGGAGTGACTGAACGCAAGTAACCTAAAGCTGGAATTTCTGGGACGGTGTGCTTTTCAAAAAGCACTGGATTTCCATCTACCTCTACACACCCACACACATACACATACACACACGCACACACACACACACACACACACAGAATTGAATTTCATACTTATTTTTTGCAAAAAAACCCCTCACAGTAGTACTTAAGTGTTCTTTTTAAAAAGGGCACAGGGGGCACAAGGCAGGGGCAGGCTATGTAGGAAAAAAGAATGATGTGGCACCCAAGGAGGTGACGTCACTACCAGCCATGGCTCTGAATAGTCTCTGGAAAACAAGCTGTAGCTAGAATCCCTTAGCCCACCTAACACTATTTAACAAAAACACAGTCCTTCCTAGGCCCAGAAAACCTTACTCACACATGACTGCTCTTCTTTAGAAACCCTAAACTCAACTATTCAGCTTTAAATGTTTTGTAGAACACAGCATCAAATATGTTAGGACCATTTTTAGAAAGCTAAACTTTAGCTGTTCTAAATTTTATTTAATATCTGGCAGGCCTGAGAAGAACTAATTCTGCACTCTGCCTATAGGCAGGATATAGGGACTCCCAACTCACGGCAGGAGACAGGCATTGGCTTGGAAAAAAGAACCCTACATACACCCCAACTCCAAATGGAGGGAAGACTTGGTTGCGAAAGGGGTGGGCACAGTGGGGAATGAGAGATGTCAAAAGTGAAATTGAGGGGTGCTTGAGGGGCTCAGTAGGTTAAGTGTCCAACTCTTGATTTCAGCTCAGGTCATGATTTCATGGTTCGTGGGTCTGAGCCCCATGTCAGGTTCTGTGCTGGCAATGCAGAGCCTGCTTGGGATTCTCTCTCGCGCTCTCAAAATAAGTAATTTTTTTAAAGTGAAAGTGAGGGGCACTTGGCTGGCTTAGTCAGTGGAGCATGTGACTCCTGATCTCAGGGTTGTGAGTTCAAACCCCACACTGTGTGTACTTTTTTTAAAAGTAAAATAAAAAAAAAACAAAAAAAGGAAAATTGAGAGGTGAGCCTCAATAAGAAAATACAATGCCAGGCTACTCATACAGATAAACATAAAATAATGTAGGTAGAATGACGGTTTCTAACATAAACACTAAGTTAATGTTAGCTATTATTGTCTTGCCCCACAGCAAGTCATTAAGGAAATACTAACTCCCCAAGCCTACTTATGAAGGTCCAATTAATCTATAATGCACCTGAAAGTACTTGAAAATTTAACGGCAAGTTTTAACAATGCTAAGGGAAACACACAACAAGGAACTGCAACTGCCAACACATTTGCTCTTCAGGAGGAATAAGTCGGCCCCTTCCATTCACAGTAGAAAGCAGCCAGTGAAGAATCCCTATGCGGCCACTCCTCCAGCAAGGGGCCAACCCAGAGACGGGGTACCTGACAAGAGGCTGGGGTAAGAACTCTGGGAGACAGCGCATGAAGTGCTACAGGAACTGGGCCTTGGCCCAATCTCCCGACTCCCCAGTCCACGAGGGCCCGGGCACCTTTCCATCCCTGTTGAAGAGCCCCAGAAAGTAGTCTCCTGCTCCCCACTGCCAACGCCTGACCAACGCCCAGTATGAAGGCGTGCTAGACACTCTGCCTCCCAGGGTCAGTCCAGAAAGCAACACAAGGCCTTGCAACTTATTACCATGATTTTACTACTCAGAACAACGGGGAGGTGGCCAAGGGAAGTCTAAATATGCTTGCCTGTTTTCACTTAACATTCAAAAGGCAAAGCCAAAAATCACACTCAAATGCTAATGCTAGTATTTTTGCATTTGTAAAAAAAAAAAAAAAAAAAAAATCAAGACAGCAGGAGGAAGGTTCCAGAACTTCTACGTTGCAATTCCTAAGTGTGTCTACTTGATTTTTTTTTT